TGTTGAGTATCTGTATTTGATCTATGCTTTTAATACGTGTGTTCATAGCACAATATTCCTTATTTGGGGTAATTTCATCGTGTCCTATAGGTTTTAATATGTTGTGCTTCCATTGTCATTTGGTTCAACTAACTTTTAAATTGTTTCTCTGATATATTGTGTGAGCCATGTGTTTGTATAGTTTTGTTGTCTTCTGTTTATTTCTAGTTTTATTCACTATAGCCCAATAGTACATAAGGGATTTTTGCAATTCGTTTTATTTATTCGTGCAAGCTTTATGACTTAAGAAATGCTGTATGTTTCTAAGAAAGATGAGCATCCCACTGTTGTTGAGTGAAACATTCTATAGATATAAGTTAAGTGAAAATTTTCAGCTGTCTGGTTTGATATTTATTTACTGAAATTTTTTTGTCCAGTTGTCCTATGTATTTGAGAAAATGAGGCATTTAAGTCTCTCACTCTGATTGTACTCTGTCTTTTGTTCTGTTCAGTACTTTTAGTTTTATAATGTTGAGTACAACAACATTTGATATATAGACACAGATATATTGTTATCATTTCCTATTGAATTGTTCCTTTTACCAGTTTGTAGTGATCACTTTGTCTCTTTGCATTATCTGCTGTGCCTGAAAATAATGTAGTTACTCCTGCTTGCTTTATGGCTCTGAATGCATTAAGTACCATATTTTTTCTGTTTACTTTCATTCTATGAATTGTGTCTTCTGCATGCAGTACATGGTTATAATTATTTTTATCCAAAATGCTAATCTGTGTCCTTTAATTTGGAAGTAAAAAGCATTGGCATTGGCAGATTTCATTGTAAGATATATTTACTGAATCCTCTTATTAGTTTATTTTGCTAGTAGTCTTATTTTTTCCTCTTCTTAAAACTACTCTCCCAAGTAGATGTATACCGTCACTAGGGATCTTTGGTGCTGGTGGCTGCTTTTTCTCTGCTTAGGATTACCTTATATATTTCTGCTATGCTGGTTTGTGTTCATGTATTTATATGCCATGAAAGTCTTTGTTTGTTGATCAATTTTGAAAGATAACTTTGTAGGATATAGAAGAGAAAGGAAAATGCAAGGGAGATTACTCACACAATTTGCCTATATGTTTAATCTATATTATTAAACAAATTGACTAACCAATAATAGCATGATTAGTATGGATTTCTAAGTTTTAAAAAAATGAGTAGCATTTTAACTGATGCTTCAGTTTATGATCAAAAGTTCTCATTTAAGTTTTGAAGAAATGAGGCTTTATTTCTTATATGATTATTAGAAAATTAGCTACTTTATTAAAACTTTGCAAACTTTAATCAGTCCTTAGCTTGAAGTCCTGTTACCTATGTTTTCATCTTTCAGTTAATGTCAAGGAAGTGATTTGGAAACCATATAGCTTTTTGGGGTAATTGACTTAAAGCCATGGTTGACTTGCATTGTTAATGAAAACTTAGAGTGTGATGCTGGTAATGGAGCATGTGTGGAGTGCTCAGATGATCTCATGAGAAATTGGATGAATATAACTTAACTTTTTAAAAAATATTTTTGAGATAGTCTCTCTATGAATCTCAGGTTGGCCTTGGGCTCACATTGTATCTCAGGCTGGTCTCAAACTTGCAATGATCCTCCTGCCTCAGCCTCCTGAGTTCTGGGGTTACAGGAGTGTGCTTCCACATCTGGCTTTAATTTTGAATTTAATGCAACATCACAGTCTGCCAGAAGCATGTAAACAGAATATTTGGTATGTGTGCCCCTATAGAAGTGTTCCTCTGCTGGGCTGTAACCTCACCTTCAATTAAATTTTCAGTGAAAGTGAAATTATTACAGTATAAACTTATATTCATGCTATTTGTCAGATGTAAAGTGCAGAAATTGTACTAGTTATATAAACTAGAAATCTATTTTTTAACCTGTTAACTACCATGCTTTTAATGTTGTTTTAATGACTGTCTTTAAAAATAGACCCATAAAATGGTCTGGAAGCCAAACCAAAGTATGGTATAATGTAAATAATAGAAAGTAGTAAACAGAAAACATATTTTGGCATATACTCAGCCAAATTTAAGTGACTTTTCTGTAATTATAAATAGAAACTTCAAATGGGACCCAAAGCAGTAATATAAACAAATTAATTTTTGGAATTTAGCCTAATTTTTCTAGAAGTTAACTGCTAAGTTGGTTTTTCAGGTTTTATTTTAATCATCTAGAAGATAATTGATACACAAATGAATAATATGAACAGTAGTTTGCTTCAAAGTTCTAATAAACTTATTTAAGATGCTACATTTTTAATTCTTAAAATGTGATTTGAGTTCTTAAAATTTTATTTCACTGAATATTGTTTTAAATTGATATTTATGTTTGCTGTATATACCAGTTTTTTAGTGCTTTCGTAAAAATCTATCACTAAAAAAATAAAAAATAGAATATATATATATATATATATATATATATATATATAATCTTTGTTTCAAGCTCTCTTGGACTTTACGATTTATGCTGAGAAAGCAATTCATACTGGTAGGATTGCATTTGTAAATTTTTGGTCTTTTCTTTAAAAAAATTTTAGCATTCTATCTTTTTATTTAATTTGTGAAATTTTGAATATAATGTGCTAGGGAGAGGTTCCTTTTTAGCATGGTTATTTGGGGTTCTTATGTGCATCTGTACATGAATATTAACTTATTTTGCCTAAATTTGGATTTTTTTCTGCTATGATTTCAACAAATAAGATACTTATAATCTTCGAGCTTTTAAAAAATTTTTCACAAAATTCTGAGGCCTTTTTAGTCATGTAGCATTTGTTGGATCCAGCGTGCATGGTATCTCATCATTTTTATGATATCATGGAACTTCTGTTTATTTAACCCAATTTCTTTTAAAGTTTAGACACTTTGTCCGCACCATGGTGAGATCAGCTACCCTTACTTTCTACTGATTTTTTTATATTTTGTATCTCTACTTGATTTCATTTTATGATTTCTAATTCTTTTTATTAAGCTTATCAGTACAATTTAGATATGCATAAGACCATATTCATCATAGGGAATTTGTACATGTATATGATGTATCTTTTCTGTGTGAAATTTTTATTTTAAAAACAAAACAAAAAGGATAAAATGATACAAAATTCAAAAAAATAGGAAAATGACACTAGTTAATATATTGCATATTGTTATCTTGAAAGTAGTTTGGATTACAAGATTTTGGTATAAAAATGACCAATCAGACAAAGAAAACAAAAACTATTCTTTTCGATGAACAGAGATTAGTATTATATTTATGTATCTTTGTGTATGACTTGTCTTGATTCTTTTTCCCCATTCCTCTTTTCTCTCTACACCTTATCATCCTCTCCTTATTTACAAAGCTTTGTTTCCATTTTATTCTTCTTTTCTCATTTTTTCTTGTCCCTCCCTTCCTTTCCCCTCCTTCTTTCCTTGTTCCTGTTTCCCTTTAAATACTATTTCTCCATTTCACCATATCTATTATACATTTTGATTCTTATTTACACTTTCAATTTCTCACATCAAAGAGACAATTTGATATTTATACATGTGTCTCTGATGTATTTCACTTAAGAATATTGTATTAAGATCCATATATTTAGCTATAATACTCTTAAGTTTATCCTCCTTTCTGGCTGAGTAGTCCTCCATTATATAAAAATGCTACATTTTAGCTGAGTGTGGTGGTACGTGCTTGTAATCCCAGCACTCCAGAGGCTGAGGTAGGAGTACTGCCATGAGTTTGAGGTCAGTCTGGGTTATATAGTGAGTTCAAGGCCAGCATGAACAACAAAGCAAGACCCTGTCTCAAAAAAATCCACATCTTTTTCATCCTTTAATTTGTTGATGTGCATTTGGGTTGTTTCCAAGATTTAGCTCTTACAAACTGTGTTGCTATAAACATGACTGTGTGTATATTACCACACACAGTACGATGCTTTTAATTCTTTTGGAAGATACCAAGAAGCATAGCTCTTTCTAGAATATCCTTGAGAATTTTTTTGAGAGCTGGTTTGTTGGTCAAGAATTTTTAAGGTACACTTTATGTTGAAAATATTATATTATCCATGAATTTTGAAAGATAGTTTGGCAAGATATATCATCCTGGGCTAGTAATCATTTTCTCTTAGAGCTTGAAGCACTTCATTCCATGTTCTTTTGGCTTTGCAGGTTTGTATTGAGAAGTCTGTAATTTAATGGGTGTACCTTTATAAGTAATTTACTGCTTTTCAGTAATAGCCTTTAAAATTCTGATCTTGTATTAGACTTTTAATCATGACATGTTGTGTTGTACTTTTCTAATTATTGCTATTTGGGATTCTATATCCCTCATTTATCTGTAAATTATATCATTTTCTCTTATTTGGAAAGTTTTCTGTTATTGGTTCTATAAACAGGTTTTTATGCCATTTTTGTTGTCTTCTGATTTTTCACCAATCCCAGCTAATCTTACATTAGACTTCTAGGATGTGGTATATCTATTTTCATGTTCTCTTGTTTTTAAAATATCTTTCATTAATGGTCACTGAAAACAATCTTGTCACTGAGACTCTGTTCTCATATGGTCAGTTCTGCTGCCCATACTTTCAATGGAATTTTTAATCTCTTGAATTTTTTCTTGGAGCATATTTATGGATTCTAATTCTTTAAATACTGGTTATTCATGTTTTGTATCATTTTGTTTGGCTCTGCTAGCTTCTTATTATTGTCTTCTAGGCTTACTGGAATTTTGGTTTATTTGACCTAATATTCTTTTACTTATATCTTTTGTGAAATTTCCAAATGCCTTATTGAACTGTTTTTACAGTATTACTCTTGATATAATTTAAGTAATTCAAGTATATGGCTTTTGGTTTTCTCCCACTGAGAATCCCACAAGTCAGATTTGGAAGAGTTGGAAAATTTAGAGTCATTTTGTTGAAATGTTTTCTCATGTTTCCATTTTTGTGTTAAGGCATGCAGATTGTGGTGCAAATCTTTGTTTTTATTATGAAGATCTCTTTAGTTGAAATCTCCTTTTCAGTGTTGTCCTCTGCATATGGGCTATCAGCCTTTGCTTTTCTTTCAGGATCTGACCACCTCTTTTTCCTTCAACAAAGTAGTCTTCCTTTATTATTTTAAGAGTATCAATAATAAAATGTCTGTCAGTATTTTCAAGTACATCTGAATGTATTTCTTTATCAAACTGATAACATTCTTTCATATAATCCAACTTATTGGTGTTGATAGCCTCATTCAGTGCAATAAAATTGGGAAACTTCTGGGTGTTCCTCAAAGCCTTCATACAGCTTTTAACATTCACTATTTCATATTCAGAAATAAAATTTGATTGAATAATATTTTATGACTTCTTTTGGTGATTAATCCCAACATTCTTTGGAAAATCTTCCAAATTCTTCCCAGCTATCATGTTGTCTTCAAGTGAATGAAGGGCCAAGACAATCTCAGGTAATTCTCCTGGTCTGAAGTTATCACACACATTCTTAATAACTTTTAAAATTCTTCAAACTGTACTTTGTCACTTTCAACAACTGTTCTAATTTCAATGCAGTAAGGAACTTACCTTTTTTAAATTATTCAGATCAGACAGAGTGTTTCACAGATCAGAAACACTTCTCTGCCCCCTAATGATATTAGAGAGGTTTCAATAGCATCAGACAAGAGTAATTTTTCAGAGAAGCATTCTGTGTTGCTCATCATGGTACTAACAATTTCTTTAAAATTTACTTTTTGTGTTTCATCAGCTTCAGTCAACTCTATGATCATTTCAAGTTCTAGTTTAGAAAGATAAATTCCAAAATTTTGAATACATTATTTAGATCCTCAAATCTCAAAATTTTCATCTTGAATTTTATCATGGCTTTGATATTTGTCTACATTGTGTACTCTGAAAAACTTTGCAGTTTGCAGAGAACAATCATAAAGTCACTTAAATTCACCATTCCATTTTAATTTCTAGTAGTCTGTCATAATCTTTTTTTAATTTAAGGAGAAAAAGGGAAAAAAAGCAGAAAAAGGGTACAAGTTATACAGAATTTCAGAAAAAAGAAATAAACTGTAGGAAATCACTAGTTAATGGATTACATATTGTCATCTTAGAAATATTTGTTCAAGTTACAAGATTAAAGCATATAAAGTGGACCTTCAAACAGTGACAATGCAAACAGTTCTGTTCAATGATCCAACAAAACTCAGTAATATCATTGTCTATCTTATACACTTAGATATACATGCAGTTATACCATTTAGAGCACTTTCTTTTCCTCTCTTTTGTACAATGACTATTACACATTTTGGGTTTTATTACTCCCACAGTTCTTATTGGTTTTTTTTTGCAAGAGAGTAAAACCAAATGTCACATAACAGAACAGAGTCAGTTAAATCAAAAGGGTGGACATAATAGATAATGTAAAAACATAATACAAGGTGATCAACAATGGTTACCATAATGCCTCTTGCTATCTTAAGAATTGCTTATATCATCAGTTATAATAAAATTGAACAAAACAGTAAAGAACAAAACCAACAAAACAAAAACATTGGAGACATTACAGGTCTTCAAAAGTAGATAATAGTCAACCAGTATGGGCGTCATAATGAATCCCACTATCTTCATAGCTGTTGCCTAAACTTTTGAACCTGGTACTATCAAGGAAAGTAGAATAGAGGAACATCAGTCAAAACAAGATGGTGAGAGCAATACAGGGCTTCAAATCAAGTTAATAGGATATCAAAGTGGGTTACTATAATATATTCTGCTTTTTTAAAATTTATTTTTCCTTTAATTAAAAGGATAAAAGTAAAAAAGTAAATAATAAAATGGAGATTGAGATAAAAGAGGGCATAACAACTGAACAGTGCAGATCAAAACATAACCATTTCAGCAAAATAGTGTTTCACCACAAGACAATCCCGACATAAAAGTAATTACCATATTGTCTCTTTCCTTGAGATCTTTGAGTATAACTTCGTATACTGTAGCATCAAATATATCAAAACAATGTATAACCATTCAAGAGAATGACAGTATTACAGAGTATTTAGAATCAACTAACATATAATGAACTATGGTTTCTGTATAATCTCCTTGTCTATAAAAATTTTTGTTTATACTATCACATATAATAAAATCCAAAAAGATACAACATGTTAAGGCCTATGGAGACAGAAGAACAAAAGCTTGATTGGACTTCAAAATAAAGATGATACCAAATCAGCACTACCTATTTATGATGTTGTTTTCTCCAAAATAGCTGTTCCTATCATCCAATCTTCTCTGCCTCATTTCTCTTGAGCTCTTTTTCTGTCATTAGTTGTCAGTTTGTTTTCTTCATTTTGTTTTCTGCTCCATTAATTGTGGCCTCTCTGCCACTATTTCTGGATTCTTCGTATTTTTCTTTTTTAGAATATCCTGCCGTATTCTCTGTAGAGTTGAATTGGTGGTTGCATATTCCCCTAGTTCCTCTTTATCCTGGAAGTACCTTGTTTTTCCATCAATTTCCAGGGATAGTTGTGCAGGATATCTCAATCTTGGCTGGAGGTTGTTATCTTTCAAAGCTTGAATTATTTCCCCCCACACTCTTGGTGATTTGATGGTTTGTGCCGAGAAGTCTGCTGTAATTCTAATGGGTGTCCCCTTGTAAGTGATCTGTTTCTTATCTCTGACAGCTTTTAATATTCTGTTCTTATATTGGATTTCTGGAATTTTGATTATTATATGCCTGGGTGTAGCTCTTTTTGGGTTGTAGGTGGCTGGAGTCCTGTATGCCTCATATATCTGAGTATCTTTACCGTTTGCTAAATTAGGGAAATTCTCTTGGATTATTTCTGTGAATAGCTTTTGTAGTCCATTTGTTTGTGTCACCACTTCTTCTCTTATGTTCTTAATTTTTAAGTTATAGATGCTCTTATCATCTTCTAGTTTTTGTATTGTTGCTGTTTGGTTTTTTTTTTTTTTTTTTGTTATTTTTAAGAAGTTTTTCATTTCATGCTCCCATATTACAAATCTGCCCTCCAGTTCAGATAATATGTCCTTAGTTTCTTTCAAGTTGTTATGTCAGTTTTTGATAGAGTCTTTAGTTTTCTGGTAATCTCTTTGAACCTGCTTCACGTATTCTACGTGTTCTCTATTTTCTCCATCAAATAATTCTCCCCTCTTTTTCTGTTCTTCCATTCCACCATCTGCTTTTTCTTGAGTGGTGCTTAACATTTCTCTGACTATTCTGCTTATGTCTTGCTTCAGGTCATTAATAACTTCATTCCTGGACTCGTCTATGAGGCTCTGGAGATAGGCTTTTATGTCGATTGGTGGTGTGTCTGCTATTGCCTGTTTCTCATGATTGGGGGCCGAGGAGCCTTTCTTGTTGCTCCCTCTTCCCATATTATTTGTTCCTTATATATGCAAGCATATATAAGAGGCCCAGCTTCCTTCCCTGTTGGCCACAGTCTGATTGAATTGTGCTGGCTAGGTGTTCCTGCCCACTGCAGCACACCTGGGAGTTACAGACTGGTCAGTCTATGCGGGGCCCACCCCTTCAGGTCAACCTACCTTAGGCTTCACCACTAGGGTGCCCCTTCAGGCGCTGGGACCTGGGTTGTCCTAGCCTACTGGGTCTCAGCCAGCAGTGTCATGTAGGTTAGGCACTGCTCAGCAATCCCGCTTGAGAGGGGGATATGTGACTGAAGTCACTACAGCGCCCTGTTCCAGCAAGTCTGCCCGGTCCCAGAAAGCCCTCTGTTGGCGCCTCCTAGACTGTGGGAGAGTCCCAGTTTCCCTCACTCACCGGAGGTCGATGCACGGCTCCCCACCTGCCCAGCTCTTAACTCCATTCACTGATTCCTGTTCTCAGAGCTTTCGCGTGTCTCTTTCCCTGTTGAGCCAATTCAGATGCAGCAGTGGCAGCAGGAAACCCAAATCACGGCTTCCAATGGTGCGAGCTCCAGCTTCCACACTCAGGCTTTATCTGTTCCTGTTACAGCACCAGGATTGCATTCCCAGTTGGTATTTCTCAGCCCAGTTCGTTCTTGGGTCAGCAGGGTATATCTCCTCTTGGTTAGGATTCCTCACTCTGCACCATTCCTGGATTCTAAGCTGGGTCTTGCAGAGAGCCTGCATAGCTGCTGCTATCTATCTGCCATGTTCTCTCCCTACTCTCAGTCTGTCATAATCTTATGTAAGTCTTTATCTAATAAAGTAATACCTAATTAAGGTAAAATGTACTGGAGTTCATCTGGAGCAATATAATTTTCTTGGAGCTGACTGATACATTCACAGGCATTTTTCAGGGTATTCACTGTAGTATTTACCTTAGTTGAAACATGTTTTAAGAGAGTGGAATGTCTTCTCACAATAGGGTTCTGAAGTTTTGAAATATCAGAAATACCATTTTTATTCAGAGGCTTATCAGGGCTTGTAACATTCTTCAAGTTTTACAGTTTAGACTTTGAGTTCTCACTTTCTTTGGATGTTTTTTAATTCATGCCATTCTTTGAGTATCACTCACATGGAAATTTTCTTATTTGCTCCAAATTTTTTTGATTGTTTAATTGCAGAATCATTTTCTTCCATAATTTGTCTATTATATTGGGGAATTTTTAAATCAATTTTAATATACTGATGATTCCTTGAGGCTAGAAAGTAAACTATTTCTTCATATGTTGTAAAGAGTACTCTGATACAATTTGTAACTTTCTGTTTGAAACAATTGTATTCAAACCTGTATCTTGCATAATTAATTTTAATTCTTGTGAACATAAATATCCTTGGGGTACTTCTTCATATAGTGTGAGGTAGAGGTTAGAAAGCATTTCATTTTTCTGAAATACTGAAAAAGATTTATAAAGAGGTAATGAAGTCTTGTGAATGTTCTACTGGTTTGGCATATTGTACAAAATGTTTTCTTTCTTTTTTTATTTAAAGAAAATTAAACAAAACAGTAAAAGGGTACAAGTAAAACAGAACTCCCCCCCAAAAAAAGTAAACATTAAGAAATCACCAGTCAATAGATCACATATTGCCATCCTAGAAATACTTGATCAAGCTACAAAATTAAGCATACAAACTGGACATTCAGTGAGACTGCAAACAGTTGTTTTCAGTGATCCAACACAAACTTAGTAAAATGGTCATCCATAATACACACCCAAACACACTTGCAGATGTGTCCCTCAGAGCAATTCCTTTTCCTCTCTTTTTTACAACAACAGTTACACATTTTGGGTTTTATTACTCCCACAGTTCCCATCACTTGTTTTGGAAGACAATAAAACCAAATGTGACAAAACAAAGCAGTCAGTCAAAACAAAGGATGGACATAGTACATGATGTAAAAACAGAATACAAGGGAATCAACAATGGTTACCATAATGCCTCTTCATACCTTAAAAAGAATCACCAATATCATCAAGAATAATAAAATTGAACAAAACTGTACAGAACAAAACCAATAAAACCCCCAAATTGGAGACATTACAGGAATTCAAAAGAAGATAATAGTCAAACCAGAATGGGCATCATAGTAGATCTTTTTGCCTTCAATGTAGTTGCCTATACCCTCAAAATTGACAATATCAAACAAAACAGAATAGAGTAAAATCAGTCAAAACAAGATGGTGAGAGCAATACAGGGCTTCAATTAGAGTTAATAGGAAATCAAAAAAGTTACTATAATATATGCTGTTAATTTTTTAAAATTTTTCCCTTAATTAAAAAATAATAAAAGAATAAATTTAAAAAAGGAGGAGATTGAGATAAAACAGGGCAAAACAACATAACAATACAGGTAAAAGCAGAACAATTTCAGCAACATAGTGTTTCACCACAAGACAACCCGACCTAACAGTAGTTACCATAGTGTCTCCATGAAATACCCAAGTATAACTTCATATGCTATAGCATCAAACATATCAAGACAGTGTGAAACCATTCAAGAGGATGAAAGTATTATTAGGTTTTTAGAACAGGCTAACAGAAAATGAACAATGGTTTCTATATTATCTCTTTGGCTATAAATTTTTTGTTCATACTATCACATTTAATAAAATCCAATAGCATACAACAAGATAAAAGCAATGAAGAAAAAAGAACAATAGTTTGATGGGACTTCAAAACAAAATGATATTAAATCAGCACACTCTATTATGATGTTTTCTTCAAAATAACTGTTCATATCATCACAGACAATAATATCAAACAGCCCAGAATAAAACCATTCCAATTAATGAGTAAAAACTTTAGAAAGCTTCAAAGTCATATAATGAGGAATCATAATTATTACATACTTTTATGTATTTAAATCATTTCTTACACTAGGGAAAATTTCGTATTCATACATGTGAGTTTGATTTATTTCACTTATGAGTATGGACTCAAGCTGTGTCCATTTATTTATAAATATCTCAGTGTGATCCTTCTTTATAGCTGAATAGTACTCCATTGTATTATAATACCATAACAATTTTATCCATTCCACAGTAGAAGGACACTTAATGGTTGTTTCCAAGATCTGGCTATTACAAATTGTGCTGGTATAATAATGGGTGCACGTATATCAGTGTGGAATGGTGTCTTAAGTTCTTCTGGGAAGATGCCTAGAAGTCGAATAGCTGGAACAAATGAGACTTCCAATCCCACTTTTTGAGAAATCTCTAGACTGATCTCCACAGTGGTTGCACCAGTCTACACTCCCACCAATAGTGCAGGAGAGTTCCTTTTTCCCCACAGCCTCTCCAGCATTTGTTGTTGGTGGGTTTCTTGATCCTGGCAATTCTTTCAGGAATGAGATGGAATCTCAGTGTTGTTTTAATTCGCATTTCTCTAATGACTAATGATGATGAACATTTTTCATATATGTATTTGCCATTTGTATTTCTTCATCTTAGAATTGTGTATTCATCTCAGATGCCTATTTTTGGGTTGGATCTTTGAATTTTGGGGGTCTGATTTTTTAATCCTTTATATGTTTTAGACAGAAGTCCTTTGTCTGAGGGACAGTTCACTAAGGTTTTTTCCCAGTTTGTTGGTTTTCTTTTTACTATGCTGGGGATTGGTTTTGATACGCAGAAACTTCTTAATAAGATGTGATCCCAGTTATTGATTCTGGGAAGTATTTCCCGTGTGGTTTGAATTCAGTTCATAAATTCTCTTCCTATTCTACATCTTCAAGGTTTTTACCCAATTTGTCTTCCAATACATTTAGTATTTCTGTTTTAATATTCAGATCTTTGATCTATTTAGATTTTAGCTTAGTACATAGTGATAGGCAATGGGTTTAGTTTTCGCTTTCAGCATATGAAGAGCCAGTTTTTCCAACATGTTTTATTAAAGAGACTGTTGTTCTTCCAGTAAACATGTTTAGCCCCTTTATCAAAGATAAGGTGGTTGAGTGTGTTTGTAGTTGTGGTTGTATCTACTAATCTATTCCACTGATCTTCGGCTCTGTTTTGATTCCAGTACCATGTTGATTTTGCTACAGTTGCTTTGTAGTATAACTTGCAGTCAGGGATTTTGATGCCTCCTGCCTTGCCTTTTCTGCTTAGAACTGTCTTTGGTATTCTAGGTCTTTTCTTGCTCCAGATGAATTTTAGGATTGATTTCTTGAGATCTATAAGGTTTGTTGATGGTATTTTCTTTGGGATTGCACGGAATCTGTATAACAGTTTGGGAGAACGGCCATTTTCACAATATTTATTCTTCCTATCCATGAGCAAGGGACGTGTTTCCATTTTCTGAGATTGTCTTCAATTTCTTTTTTCAGTGTATTATACTTTTCCCTGTATAGGTCATTCACTACTTCCGTGAGAGTAATTCCAAAATATTTCATTTTTTGGTTGCTAGTGTGAAGAGTATTGCTCCTCTTATTTCTCTGTCAGTGATTTTGTGGTTTGGGTATAGTAATGGCATTAATTTTTGAGTATTGATTTTGTATCCAGCTACATTACTGAATTTATTTATTATATCTAAGAGTCTTTCATTGGAGTTTTGGGGATCTTTTGTATAGAGTACAATGTCTTCTGCAAACAATGATGATTTAATTTCTTCTTTTCCTGTCTTTAGTCCTTTTATTTCTCTCTTTTGTCTAATTGGTCTGGCTAGTATTTCCAGTACTATACAAAATCAGAGCAGCGATAAGGGACATCCTTATGTTGTACCTGATTTTAAAGTAAAGGCCTTCAGTTTTTGGCCATTTAGTATGATACTATCCGTTGGTTTGTCTTAGACGGCCTTTATTATATTGAGGTAAAGACCATCTATTCCAAATTTCTGTAAAGTTCTTATCATAAAAGAATGTTGGACATTATCAAAGGGTTTTTCTGCATCTATAGAAATGATCATGTGATTCTTACTTTTGGCTTTATTGATACAGTGGACTACATTTATTGATTTACATATGTTGGATCATCCCTGCATGCCTGGATGAAATCCCACTTGGTCATGGTATATAATCTTCTTGATGATTTGCTGCATTCTATTTGCCAGTAATTTATTGAGGATTTTTACATCTGTATTCATTAGGGAGGTTGGTCTGTCATTCTCTTTTTTAGTTGGGTCTTTTTCCGGTTTTGGAACTAGAGTAATATTTGCTTATAGGAATGACTTAGGAAGGATTGCTTCCCTTTCAATTTCTTTGAAGAGTTTGAGGTGTGTCAGCATTAAATCTTCTTTGTAATTTTATTGCAGAATTCTGCAAAAAATTCGTCTGGGCCTGGGCTCTTTTTTGTAGGTAAAGGCTTAATTACATTTCCAATTTCATAAATAGAAATTGGGTTGTTCAGCAGTTTTATATCTTCTTGACCTAATTTTGGTACTTCACATATTTCTAGGAATCTGTCTATTTCTTCTGTGTTATCAAACCTATGAGAGTAGAGGTTTTTGAAATAGGTGTTGATGATCCTCTGTATTTCTATAGAATCTGTAGTGATTTTGCCTTTTTCATTTCTTCTTGCATGAGTTTGAGCTTTTCCTTCCCTTTTTAAATAAGCTTGCCTAGGGGATTATCAATTTTATTTATTCTTTCAAAGAACCAACTCTTTGATTCTTGGGATTGTTTCCTTGTCTCTATTGCATTAATTTCTGCTCTGATTTTTATAATTTCCTCTCTTCTTTTGGCTTTGGGCTTGACTTTCTCTTCTTTTTCTAGATGTTTGAGGTGTACCATCAGGTTATTTATTTGTATTCATTCTGTTTTGCTGATGTGGGAACTCAGTGCAACAAATTTTTCTCTGAGAATGGCTTTCATTGTGTCCCACAGATTCCAGTAAGTTTTATTTGTATGTTTGTTTGCTTGTAGGTATTGTTTAATTTCTTCTTTAATTTCCCCTGTGATCCAATGATTGATCAAGAGTGTGTTATTCAGTTTCCATGTGTTTGTGTGATTTTTGCCATATCTTTTCTCATTAATTTCTAATTTCATAGCACTATGTTCCGATAACATGCAAGGGATATTCAAATCTTCAACTCAACGTATTTATTTAAATAGGTTTTGTGAGCTAATATGTGGTCTATTTTAGATAATGACCCATGTATTGCTGAGAAGAATGTGTATTCTGACGTTGTTGACTAGAACACTCTGTATGTGTCTATCTAGTAGCTTTGTTTGCAGATGTGATTCATTTCTGTTATTTCTTTGCTGATTTTCTGTCTGGTTGATCTGTCCCTTGATGTCAATGGTGTGTTAAGGTCTCCAGTTATAATTGTGTTACTGGTAGATTGATTTTTCTTTTCTGTTAATCCTTCTTTTATATAACTGGGTGCTCTGGAGTTTGTTGCATATATGTTCTAGATTATTATTTCTTCCTCTTGAAGTTTTCCTCTAACCAGTATGGAGTGACCTTCTTCATCTTTTCTGAACATTATTGGTTTGATGTTCACATTGTCTGCAAACAGAACTGCTACTCCCACTTTTTTGGTTCCTGTTGCATGAAGTATTGTTTTCATCCTTTGACTTTAAGTCTGTTAGTATCCTTTTGGTTTAGATTTGTTTCTTGTAGACAACATATGTTTTGATTTTGTTTCTTGATCCATTCTGCCAGTCTGTTTCTTTTAATTGGTACATTGAGACCATTTACACTAATGGGTATGACTGTTATTTGTTGGTTTATTGTTGACATGGTATCTTTATCTTTCTGATGCTACAGCTTCATCTTTCTCTTCTGTTTAATTGTCTGATTTGCTTATGGTTTTTTCCCTAAGTGTATGTAAACTGTCTTTAAATATTCTTTGCAGGGTTGGCTTGGTGATCATGAAATTCTTCAGCTGTTCTCTGTCATGGAAGTATCTTATTTCTCCATCGATTTTGAAAGACATTTTTGCTGGGTACATCAGTCTATGTTGGAAATCATTTTCCTTTGGGATCTGGAATACTTCACTGCATGCTCATCTTGACTTTACTGTTTTTGCTGAGAAGTCTGCAGTGATTCTGATAGGTTTTCCTTTATAAGTGATCTATTTTTTCTCTCTGCCAGCTTTCAATACTCTATTCTTACGTTGGATTTCTCAGAAGGTGATTATTATATATCTGGGTGTAGTTTTATTTTGCTTATGACTATTTCAAGTTCTATATGCTTCACTGATCTTTCTGTTGCTTTCCAATCTCATGTTTGTAAAATTTATATCTATTACTTCTGTAAATATCCTCTTGACATCCTGTATGCTGTTCCTTTCCTTTTTATTATACATATCAATCTTATTTTGTTTTTCTTTGCATCATCTTGCAGTTGTTGAATTGTTATTTCTTGATTTTTTGTTATTTTAAAAAGATCTTTCCTTTCTTGTTGACTAGCTGCAATCTTTTCTTTGAGGTCTGAAATTCTCTCTTCACTTTAATTGAGGTGGTTTTTATAGCTTTCAATGGAATTTTTGATGTCCTGCATATCTCTTTGCATCTGCTTCATGTATTCTATTTGCTTCTTATATTGCTCATCCAGGGATTCTGTGTTTTGGTTTAGTTCATCCGATTTTGTAACTGTGTCTTCTTTAGATATGTTCAGCATCTCCTTCATTTCTCTTATCATTTCTTCTTTTACCTGGGAGATTATTTCTAGTTTCAATTTCTTTAAATCTTCCTGGAGTTGCTTCTTTATTTCAGTTGCTATTATGTCCGATATTTCAGGTGTATGGCATATATTTTCTACTACGTATATGGCTCCTAAGGTTTCTTTGGATGGGCTGGAGGTTTGAGATTGTAAATTGTCTTTCGTTTTGTCATTTTCCTATATTTCTGTGTTTCAAGTGTTATTCCAAGCTTTTGCAGGGTCTGTTGGTGATCCTCTTCTATGTCCTCAGCTCCTGGGATTCTGGCCACCCAGCTCCCTGGATTGAGAGAGGATCACTGGGGTGGGCCAGGCCGACCCATGCCCAGCCCTCGAAATTAATGGCACCCGTTCACCCAGAACTCCAGAGTCCCCCAAGCACAGATGGGAGTGGGGAGGCCGCCCTAGGCCAGCCCAGGACCCGCTGTGCTGGTCCAATGCACTGGAAAGCCACAAAGTTCCCTCGCCAGGGCTTAGCGAGGGTCCCAAACTATTTGGACTCAGGGGAAAGTATTCAGGGCACCCACACCAGGCCACCCAGCCTCTGGAACCCATAGTGTTTGCTTGCCTCCTAGGAATTCCAGAGTGCACCAAGTACTTCCAGGAGTAGAGAGGCTGCTGCAGGCATGCCCAGGACCTACCACACTGGTCCAGTGCACTGGGAAGCCACAAAGTTCTCTCTCCAGGTCTGAGCGAGGGTCTCAAACTCACAAAATCTTTTCTTTACTAACCATCTCCTTTTGCAGCCTCAAAGTGTGAAGGATCATGTCCTTCAAGAGTAAAGGCACTCTCTCAACTCCAGGCAGAGGTAAATAAAAATTTTCTAAATCTTTATCTCAGTTCTTTGATGTGCAGATGAAATTGCAATCAATTTTTCTCCTGACTTTTTTTCCTCTTGAAAATTCAGAGGATTTTTCTTCTCTACATATGAATACTGAGACTCCATACTTTTTCTGATATTCTGGGATCAAATCCTTAATTTCAAATCAATTTTTCTTCTCCATTATTTTACAAAATTTTTTGTATTTCTTGTTTGTAGTGTTTCTTGATGGCAAGGAAGTTGCAAAAGCATTAAATTTCTCACCTGAAAAGTTAAAATTTTCTTCCACCTGGAGGAATAAATGTGTGTTAGTTTGCATCTTTCTCTTTTAGAGAGAATTTCTACTCTTCAGGGCTCAGAGGCTTTGGTGAACAAATGAAATGAACAATAGTTGAAAATGATTTCCTCCTGTGCCCCTCAGGCTGCCCCTCACCCCATCTCTCACAGAAATAGGGCCCATTTGCCCACTGAGCCCTGGAAACTCTGAGCTTTACCAATGTAAAGCCCTGGCTCAGCCACCTTCATAGGCTCCCACCTGATTTCTAAGTCTTTAACAAAATGGATATCATGTATTCTATTGTGTTGTTAAACTCAATCTGCTTGTTGCATTTTCTTCTCTGTGCTCACTGAACATTTTATTAGCAAAATCTTTTATGTGTTTAATTCAATCCTTTTAAATGTGTTAAAATTGACTGATTTTACTGATGTTTATTTGATCTCTTTAAACATTTGATGATTTTTTTTTAGTTCTTTGCTTCACTTCATTGTCTTTAAGATGAATTTTGGGAGAGGTAGTGGTAATCAGAATTATCTTGTAGCCTTACTTTCTAGTATTTTAGTTGTTTTGTGTTGTAGGTTGAAGATCAATTAGGGTAGAAAAACTATGATACCACTTTGGAGATGTATTTAGTTTGATATTGTATCCTTTTAATGTATCCTTAGATTTGGTTATGTTTTGATGTTTACACTCTCTTCAATCTACTCAGTGTAGTATTTGAGTATCTAATTAGTGTCTAAACTTGCTCTGGGGTCTTGGCCTCCAACATCAATCAGATGGGAGGAATGAATTATATTATAGTTGATAACACAAAGACAAATCAGATACTGTATTGGAAAATAATAAAAAAATTAAAAGCAAGAGCTATACCACTATTAACAATGCAAAAATATCAGCAATAATAACAAAGTCAAATACAATCTGGATATTTGCATACCATAAGAAACAATATGAGCTACAAGTATACCAACTTTAACAATAGAGAAGAGACCCGCAATAATAATACAGACACAAATGTAAACAAAACATTCACATGTAGTAAATATCTACCAAGTAACTATAGTACAATTAGCAATAGAAAAAAATTCAACAATGGTTTTAGTCAATTAATGAAGTGTAGGGGATGAGAAATGAAAATGACGAAGTAGAATTTGAAAAAGAGAAGAAAGATCAGAAAAAGGTGGAGAGAAAAATGAGCAAAATTCAACTAAAGTATAAAAGAAAGCTAATAGGTAACAATAACACAAAAAATGAGAATAGGCAAAGAAAAATAAGAATAAAGAAAAAATCCCCCTTTTGTTATTCTTGCTTTTGATATGTTACACAGCACAATTGACCTTCTGCTATGCCACCCTGCCTTGGAACCAGCTTATTATAGACTGAAACCACTACAAACTTAAGCAAGGTTCTGTCCTGACATCAGGATGTCATTGAAGACACTGATCTGAGATGGAACTGCCAGTGAAAGAAGTCTGAGATCTGCCCTGCCTCCCTGCACTGGTGGACTTAGAGCCTGGAAATCTGAAGGAAAGCCAGTGACACAGTAGGACCACGATTAAGGTGCACATAATGGACAGATGAAACTAGAGGCATGGAAATATCCCATTCAATATTAGCAATATGAGCCAACTGGCGATCTCCAAACTTTATTTTTGTTTATTCTACTCATTTTCTTCCAGTATTACATCAACTATCTTCCTTGACTTCGTGATACATTCATGAGAACAAATGATGTCACTCCTCATTCTGGTCCTTCAAAACTCCTGGACTCTCTCTCCCAATCCTTCCTCCTGTGTCCTACATTTACCCAAAACCTGGATGATCATCCTTCCAGTGTTGCTCCTACTATATTAAACGTCTCTTATCTGTCCATCCTACTTCCTATGCTCCTGAATGTCTCCACTCTATAACTCAGTACAATTACTCTACTAAGTGGAAAATCATTACATACAAGTTCCTGGTATAAGTGAGATTATGTGATATTTTTGTAGACTTTCTTCTTACAATTATAGATATCAGGCTAATGGTTACCACAGTTTGTCAGTAGCCAGGTTGTACTTGAGTCTACTTTTACTGCCCGCTGGACTACTTTAAACAGGATGTTATGTAGGCTATAATCAATTTTTCCCACGTGTAAAACTGCACTGAAATTTTAAGGGGTCATAACCATCACCATAGTTTAGTACCAAAGGAATGAGCCCTAAATAAAATAGATAATTCCCAGTCTTAATATATTGCAAAGGTAAGTTCTAGGTATAGACATAAACTCTAATAATCACATATAACTTTCAGCCAAAAGTGATCAAAAGGGACAAAGAAGGTCACTCTATACTTGTTAAGGGAAAACTCCAAGAAGAGATAACAATCATAAATATTTATTCACCAAAAACAGTTCACTCAACTATGTAAAAAATATTAACAAGCATGAAAAACCAAAGAAGCACTAGCATAACTGTAATGGGGGACCTTAATAGGCCACTCTCACAAGTAGATAGATACACTAGAAAAAAAATTTAAAAAGAAATGTTATAATTAAATCAAGCCTGTGAACAAACGGAATTGATAAATGTCTACAGAGTGCTGCACTCTAAAACATCAGAATACATGTTCTTTTCAATGGCACATGAGATGTTCTCTAAAACGAGCATATATTAGCTGACAAGACACATTTAAATAAATGTAGGTAAGATGAAATCATTTCATGCATACTACCTGACTGTAGTACAATGAAACTGGAAATCAATGACAAAGGAAATTACAAAAACAGTATCAACACATGGAAATTACACAACACTTGTTGGGAGCTATTGAGGCTGAAAAGTGACCACATGTGCAAGGCTGGAGCATAACCATCCCAAGAACAGAGTGTATGTATGGGACAAGCCACAAGAAGAAGCTGCTTCAGCCCAAAGAATACCTAGTCCCAAGACAATCTGAATGTTGCTAGGAAAACAGGGTGTCATATGACATTAAATTGCTAAAGCATTTAAATAAACACCCTTGCAATGAGGGGCCAGTACCTTTACTCCCATCAGAAGGATAAAGACTCTGCCTGACCCCAGTTATTTTTGTCTTTTTCCATTTTCTCATCCTCCTCACAGTCTTTAACCCCAAGAACCTCAGGAGCTACATGGGTCACAGCAAACACTTTTCTGAAAAAATCGATGGGTCACAAAGAAATTAAAAATGAAATCCAATAGTTAGAGAAATGCTAAGGACTGCCCAAGAAAAAACAGATGGTGGAATGGAATAACAGAAAAAAAGGGGAAAATTGTTTGATAGAGAAAATAGGAAAAACATAGAATACGTGAAGCAGGTTCAAAGAGATAACCAGAAAACTAAAAACTCTATTGAAAGCTGGCATAGCAGCTTGAAAGAAACTAAGGATAGATTATCTGAACTGGAGGACAGATTTGTAATGTGGGAGCATGAAATGAAAAACTTCTGAAAAATAACAAGGAAAAAACCAGCAATAATACAAAGGCTAGAAGATGACAAGAGGATCTATAACATAAGAATTAGGAAGTAAAAGAAGAAGTAGGGACACAAAAAAATGAACTACAAAGGCTATTCACAGAAATAATCCAGGAGAATTTCCCTAATTTATCAAAAGGTAAAGATATTCAGATGTATGAGGCATACAGGACCCCAGGCACCTACAACCCAAGCAGAGCTACACCCAGGCATATAATAATAATCAAATTTCCAGAAATCCAGTATAAGAAAAGACTATTAAAAGCCATCAGGGACAAGAAACAGATCACTTACAAGGGTACACCCATTAGAATTACAGCAGACTTCTCGGCACAAACCATCAAATCACCAAGAGTGTGGGGGAAATAATTCAAGCTTTGAAAGATAATAACCTCCAGCCAAGATTGATATATCCTGCACAACTGTCCCTAGAAATTGATGGAAAAACAAGGTGCTTCCAGGATAAAGAGGAACTGGGGAAATTTGCAACCACCAATTCAACTCTACAGAGAATACTGCAGGGCATTCTAAAAAAAGAAAAATACCAAGATTCCAGAAACACTGGCAGAGAGGCCACAATTAATGGAGCAGAAAACAAAATGAAGAAGACAAACTGACAACTAATGACAGAAAAAAAGCTCAACAGAAATAAGGCAGAGAAGTTTGGGTGGTAGGAACAGCTATTTTGGAGAAAACAAGCATCATAATAGCTAGTGCTAATTTAATATCATCTTGTTTTGAAGTCCCATCAAGCTTTTGTTCTTCTGTCTCCATCAGTCTTAGCATGTTGTATCTTATTGCATTTTATTATATGTGATATTATAAACAAAACTTTTGTAGACAAGGAGATTATACAGAAACTATTGTTCATTTTCTGTTAGATGATTCTAAATACCCTGTAATACTGTCATTCTCTTGCATGGTTTTACATTGTCTTGATATGTTTGATGCTACAGTATACGAAGTTATACTCAAAGATTTCAAGGAAAGAGACACTATGGTAACTACTTTTATGTCGGGATATCTTGTGTTGAAACACCATTTTGCTGAAATGGTTATGTTTTGACCTGTGCTGTTTTGTTGTTATGCCCTCTTTTATCTCAATCTCCTTTTCTTATTTACTTTTTTATTTTTATCTTTTCAATTAAGGGAAAAATAAATAAAATTAGAAGGATATATTATAGTAACCCACTTTGATTTCCCATTAACTTGATTTGAAACCCTGTATTGCTCTCATCATCTTGTTTTGACTGATTTTCCTCTATTCTCTTTTGCTTGACAGTACCAAGTTCGAGAGTACAGGCAACAACTGTGAAGACAATAAGATTTATTATGACACCCATTCTGATTGACTATTATCTTCTTTTGAAGTCCTGTAATGTCTCCAATGTTTTGGTTTTATTGGTTTTGTTCTTTACTGCTTTGTTCGATTTTATTATAAGTGATGATATAGGCAATTCTTAAGATAGCAAGAGGCATTATGCTAACCATTGTTGATCACCTTGTATTTTGT